GAGGATCTTTGTCTTCTGCTGGAAATTTGAGATCAGCAGGCAAAGGAGTGGTGACAGGATGACAATCCAGCATACAAACATTAGTAAGAATATCAGTCACATACTTAGTTTAAGACAGATAAAGGCCAAAAGACGAACGAGCAATTTCCATTCCGAGAAAATACTTAGCAACTCCCAGATTCTTGATGGAGAATGCTTGGTCTAGAAAGTTCTTGACTTGCTGAATCAAGGTTTCATCAGAACCAGTAAGTAGCACGTCATCAACATATATGAGTAAGAACACCTACTGATCAGCATGATCATATACAAACAAGCAGTGATCATGATAGGATTGGTGGAAGCCAAAAGATAAAAGTTTAGACGTGAACTCCTTATTCTATTCCCTGGAAGCTTGCTTAAGGCCATAACGGGACTTCCTCAAACGACATACTTGTCCAGGTTTAGCAACTTGATACCCAGGAGGAGGATTCATATAGACTTCTTCTGTCAAATGACCGTGGAGGAAGGCATTATTGACATCTAATTGATGCAAAACCCAGTTCCTGGCCATATCAATAGCAAACATGAATTGAACTGGAACCACTTTGGCCACAGGAGAAAAGACTTCTGTAAAATCTTCACCTTCAATTTGAGTAAAGCCCTTGGCAGCCAGGCGACCCTTGTATCGATCTACAGATCCATCAGGCAAGCATTTGACTCTATAAACCCACTTGCATCCTACAACTTTCTTTCCTGCAGGCAAAGAAGTCAACTCCGAAGTGTTGTTTTTCTCAAGGGCTGTTAGTTCTGCAGTCATAGCATCTATCCACTTTCGATTATTCCTAGCCTGATTGCATGTCACAGGTTCTTGGATCATAGACAGATTTGCCAAAAAAATGGGAATGACTAAGAGAGCACTGGAAAGAAGAAGGATGTAAAACAGTATTTGAATACTAAGGTGAGTGACAGGAATACTCAGGGGAGTGGCAGGAACACTCAGGGGAGTGACAAGAATTGACCAATTCAAAGTCATTGAATTTAGAAGGTAAATGACGAACTCTAGTGCTCCTTCTGAGTGGTTGAGGAGAAGAAGTAGGAGATGGTGCTGAAACAAGGAGAGGAGATGAAACAGGAGAAGGAGAGTGAGAAGAATTAGATGAGACATCATTTAAAGGTGAAGATATAGCATGAGAATCATCAGCTGAGATATGATCAGAGGAAGAAGAAACAGGATCTTGAATATCTGCATTAGTGATGGCAGGAATAGCTGTAGGAACAACATTTATAGTATGGTCAGAAGGATAAGATGGAAACACATTTTCATGAAAGATAACATCTCTGGAAACAATGATTTTCTTGAGAGTTGGTACATAGATTTTGTAGCCTTTTTGATGAGACGGATAACCCACAAAGATTCCTCTATGAGATCTAGAATCAAATTTGTCACAATGAGGAGTTGTGTCAACAGCAAAGGCTAAACTGCTAAAATCCCTGAGATGATCATATGTGGGTGGCTTTTGATAAAGAATTTCAAATGGAGTTTTCCATTTCAAAACAACAGAAGGAGTAATGTTTATAAGATGAGTGGCAGTAAGAATAGCTTCTCCCAAAATCTTTTAGATAACTGTGACTCAATAAGAAGAGATTGAGCCACTTGCAAAAGGTAGCGGTGCTTTCTTTCAACAACACCGTTTTATTGAGGTGTATAAGGGCAAGTTGTTTGATGAACAATACCACGTTTACTGAACAAATCATGGCATAATGAATTGGTGAATTCTGTGCCATTGTCACTACGGATAGTTTGAATTGAAGTATGGAATTGATTTCGAGGGTAAGCAATGAAATTTGCAAGTAACTGAACCACCTGAGTCTTGCATTTAAACAGAAAAGTCCAGGTGCAACAACTGTAATCATCTACGATAGTAAGGAAAAACTGACAGCCATTTATAGATGATTGTTTGTAAGGACCCCATACATCAATGTGTATTAAGGAAAAAAAACTCTATCAGTTTGACTAGTACTAAGAGGTAAAGGATCTCGATGTTGCTTGGACATAGGAAAAGTTTCACATAGGCTAATATTAGGCGATGAAGCTTGTAAATCAATACAAGAAGATAGATGTTTCATTACATTCAAAGATGGATGCAAATGCCATTGATTTACAGATGAAACAATCAAGGCTTTATTACTAAGCTATGTAGAAAAACTGTTGCTATAGAATCGTCTGGATGACAACACATAGGAAGCATAAAGACTTCGAGATTTCTGAATGGCCTCTAAAGTGAAGGAGGATTTCTCAAGAGCATATAACCCATTGACGACTCCACCAGCTGCTAAAACCTTAAATGTGCCAAGGTCCTGCAACAAACAAAACTCATGAAAGAACTGAAAGAACATATGAGAATCTTTGGCCAATTTTCTTACTGACAACAGGTTGTATTTGAATTTGGGAAGATGTAAAAAAGATTTCAAGGTCACAGAATTGGATAAAACAGCATGTCGAATGTGAGATACTGATTGAATACTCCCATCAGGCAAACAGACAGGAGTATAGGGTTGAACATTTTGAGGATTGGTTAACAGTTTTAGAAAAGCATTCATGTGACCTGTGGCACCAGTGTCTATGAACTAAAGAAGATAAAACAAACAATCAGACTTTGAAAGTAATCGAGGTAAGACAGAACTACCTGCAAAATCTAGAATGTGTGGAGAATTGACCAAAGAAGCTCCTTTAGCTACTGCTTTTCCTTTAATCATCCTGCTCAGCTCTTTCTGGACTGCATTTGCAATGGCTTCTTCCCATCCTGATTCATGAGCTTCATCAAGAGGAGTCTCAACAATATTTGCCACTGCTGTTCCAGTAGAGAATTTCTTGTTAGCTTCCCACTTTGCTGGAAAACCATTCAGCTTAAAACACTTTGCCTTAATGTGACCATCTCTGTGACAATAAGAACAAGTGATAGGAGCTTGCTGAGTCTATTGAGTGGGATAACCAATCAATTTGAATCATTTTTCTTAGATGTTCCCGATCCTCTTGCAGTAATTACAGAACAACCGTGCCTTATCAGTGTTAACAGCAGCCTTTGGATCACCATTTTTCTTCCAAGCTGCTCCATCTTTGGCGATCATAGCAACATTTTCTGAATTGGCAACATGAACACTAACTTGACGATTCTTCTCTGCTTTGAGAATCATAGAATAAGCTATATTAACATTCGGTATTGGATCTGCCATCAGGATTTGATTCTTTTCAGCATCAAACGTATCACTTAGTCCCATAAGAAACTCCATTGTTTTGTCTTTAGTAATCCTGTCATCAACCAGCCTAGTAACAATAGCCAAGGAGTTCTTTTCTGGACTATTCAAGGAGTTCACAGCACTTTCACACTTAAGATCTAGATGCAATTGGCCAAGCTGATCTCTCAATTGCTTAAGTTTGCCATAATACTGATTAATTGAGAGATTTTTCTGTTTGATTACAGCTATTTCTCGCTTGATTTGAAACAGTAAAGACAAATTAGCTGAACCATAACATTCCGCAATTTCATGCCACAGATCACTTGCATTACTGATATACATGAACTAATTAACGATATCCTCAGAGATAGAACTTAGAATCCATTAAAAAACCATACTGTTTACCTTTTTCCATTTACGATAATAAGGAGAAGCAGCATCAGGAACAGGACAGCTACCGCCAACGAATCCAAGTTTGCTTTTTGCCTCAAGAGCTATTTCCATTGCTGTCTTCCATAGCAAGAAATTAAGATCTGTAATAGGAGTAAAGACGAGCTTCATACCTGGATGATCAGAGCCATGGAGAAGGAGCTGCTCCTCAAACTCCTCAGCAGCAAGACTCTGTTCATCAGTAACCGCCATTACTCAAAGCAGAGAACAGAAGAATTTCTTCGCGGAAGCGATAGAAATAGAGATTTAAGATGTAGAAGTATTAATCAGAGTTCTAGTTAACAGGATCAGGCTCAAAGAGCCCTGATACCATCTAGAAACTCATGAATCAGAAGCATAATCAGAGAAATGAAATTGAAGACGAAGAACCCTAATTTGAACGATTTGTGAATTCAGACTTCTGTAAAAACAAAGGATCTGAGAAAAGGGTGTTTTCATTCATCTATTTTCAATCATGTACAGTCATCTATTTATAGATAAATACATCACTGAGATTTTGCTAAAGTCACAGTACAAAGAAGTGAGCTACTCTAACTAACTCTACTATTTACAAAATGAAATCCGGGAATCACACTCACCGCTTGGTGACTTTATCTTGATTGACGTGGAGGTTACGTCTTTGGCGTGGAGGTTACGTACTTAGCACCTTCTGGAAGTTACGGCGGTCTGATCTGGTGTGAAGCTGCAATGAGCCGTATGCTGTGTTCCGTATGTTGTTCTTGCTGGGACGACGTCGTTGCTGTTGTGGATGAAGCTGATGGATACTTCATCAAAGACGGACTACTTAAATATTTAGCTCATCGAAATGCATGTCTAAAGAACTTCTCAGGCTATATATATTTCACTCATCTAACGAAATATAAATGAAATTAGGAAATTGAATGATGCCCTTTTGTTGGATAATGCTCAATTGTAAGAATAGGAGTTCGCGGAAATACATACACTTCTTTGCCTTAGAGAAATAATAAGAATCTGCACATGGGAAACGCGATTTCTCATGATGAATCCTTTTATTTACCTTAGAAGAATTTCAATGACCACAAGATCAAGATGCATTCAAAACCTTTTTCTTCCATTCTCATGGAATCACTTTTTTCTCAGCAAAAACTTACCTATATCATATTGGATATCATTCTAATTGTCTTCAAAAGTAGGCGAACCAGTTTGCTTTTTGGTAAAGGACTGAAATTGGTGAAATCCTTTGAATTGGTAAAAGTTTTGAGCAAGCTTGGACTGTCTGACCGATTTGGGGGACCTAGTCGTAGAAACACATGGGTGAACAAAAAATTATCATACTACATAGTCTACGTAGAAAACTGAAGAAATGAGTACCATCCACATTGACTTTAAAGTAAAAAATAAGCCTTTCCTTTTGTATATATACATGAACGTCAAAAAGGAAGCAAACACAGGCACGCATTCCTAATGAATGATGAGTACAAAACATAATATAGTTGGATTTGAAGATTGCAACTAACAGATGTAGTTCTTTTTTTAAATACCAAAATTTCCTCCTGCATCCCTTTGATGCTTTAGCGAGATTCAATGTATCTAGATAACCTAGAATGATGTTGAGATTTTAAGTGAGCTGGTCTTGAAGGTCCACGAGGCATTCGATTTATCGGCGACCAATTCGTACTAGACCGCATTGCATCAGGTGGAGGAGATGGTGGTAATGTTAGAAACTTTGGTGATTGTAACTGTTCTAAGTATCCAAGGACTTCTGACATTGGTGGCCGGAACTTGTGTTCGGGATTCACGCAGTACGAGGCTAGAGTTGCTGCTACAAATGCTCCTCTCCTCGGATACTGTCCCTCTAAACTGTTGTCCATGATTCGGACCAATGCGCGCTTGTTGCGCAGGTGAGGTTTCACCCAACTCACTAGGTTTTGTTCTTCTTTCGCCCTTCGATAGTCTACAGCTACTCTCCCTGTGATCAGTTCGAATAGTACAACTCCAAAGCTGTAAATGTCGCATTTCGCAGTCAATCTACCTGTTTGTTCATCAATACAACAAATTTAAGAAGAAGATTAGTTATGATTTGGAAACAGGCTATATAATGCTTAATTAAACAGTGTTCTACGTAAATGTATTCCATTTGGGGTGGCTTTACTTTTGGATTATAATGATCTGAAAGATATCTAAATTGTAAATAATATTGATGAAAGGGAAAGTTCTTGATTAGTTTATAGAACCTTAGTTGAATAAACTTTTTTGGTTTTACCGGCTAGATATGGCGAAAAGGACTAATGATCTGACTAGATGAAATGTATCTTACTACAGTGAGAAATACTTCACTATGACTATGACCTTATTCATTTGAAAACTATCAATTTTAGACTCATGCAAGCAATATACATTTGAATCACGTTGAATTTCGAATTGGAATTAGTTGGAATTTCATGAAATGTGCTGCCTTATTTGGAATATTGTGTAACAGTTTAACCATCAGTACATCTACGGCGAGGTATCTACTTTGGAAGATTTGAATGTACAGTTCATTCAGGTTGTTCAAACGAAAAATGCGTCATCCACGAATTCAGTCAGTTGAATATGATTTTCCTTATCCTGGATGATGCTTGATGACTAATATACTCATGAACAAGAAGACCAGAGGAAGTAATAATTAAAAAAAAAAAAAAAAATAGCTGCCTTTACCTGTTCTAATGTATTCTGGTGCAGCATACCCTTCAGTGCCCATAACAATTGTACTAACATGAGTCTGATCCCCGGTTGGACCTCGTTTTGCCAATCCAAAATCTGAGAGCTTTACATTAAAATCCTGCATGGATCGCAAGTTTATCAGACAGGGATTTCAAGGCATCAAATTCACTAACTTCAGATTGTAAGAAAACACAGCATTGGAATTGACGAGACCATCTGAATCAGTGAATAATGTTAGAAAAATAATTAACATACCGAATCTAACAGAATGTTTGATGCTTTAAAATCTCGGTATATGATCTGTGGTTCCGAATTATGTAGAAAAGTGAGGCCTCTAGCAGCACCAACAGCAATCTTCATCCTTGTTTCCCAAGAGAGCGGACGTCTGTCATCTGCAACAATCAAGAAAACCTATTAGCACTATGAAAATGAATGGTCAATTCTCTTTGGAAACAGAAAAACTTAGGCTGATGACCAAAATGTATATATCCTCTTGGCAGGGCATACTTAAAATAAAACAAGTAAACAGTGAACTATCAAACAATATGTTGTTGATTTTATAGGAAGAGAGAAACTTACTCTTGAATAAATGATTTTCAAGGCTGCCTTGGGGCATGTATTCATACACAAGTAACCGATTTTCGCCTTTCAAGCAAAATCCAATAAGCTTGACTAGATTAGGGTGGTGAAGTCGGCCTAGATAATTTACTTCAGACTGCACATGTAACACAAATACTATCAGACTGATACAAATCAGGCATGATATCAAAAGGACTAATTCAGACAATGAAGCCACTGATCATATAATATGAAACTTCTACAAAAGATAAAATTACTCACCAACCACTCCTTATGGCCTTGGTAGCCTTGAGGCCTGAGCTTCTTTACGGCAACGGCCATTCCTGAACCTGGTCTCACGGGAGCAAGGGTATCTATATCCAACCATCCTTTGTACACACATCCGAAACCGCCTTCACCTAAGAGATTATCTGCAGAGAATGCTGCAGTAGCTTCAACAAGCTCACTATACAAAAAAGATTTGAGACCTGGAGATGCCAAGATTTGACTCTCGGTTGGGAGATTTTGCAAAGTTCCATTTCTGTTCTTTCCAACCGGATTATTTTTCTGTGGCGAAGTTGGCGTCGGCAAAGGATGGCTACATTGGCTAGGAAGGGGAATACCTGATAGCCAAAATCAAATGGATTAATGGCGGTGAAAGAGGTGAACAAATCTGCAGATTAGCAATTATAGTAAACATGATTCATAAATCATATACACACATTAATTTGTGGTCAAACTCCTTTGAATATCATATCTTCATCAAGGCCATTTTGTATCTTCTAACCAAGATTCTAAGAGACAGTTTGTTACATTGCCAGACTGATAATCTTCATTGCCAAGAATACACAAAAAATCACGGCACTTATGAAATCATTCACAATTCTTTAAAAAAATGCAAAGCAGCACACTACTAATAGTTTGCAAACTATTTGTTCTAAGAAACTAATTAACCCTTCCTCAATTATAGCTTTACAATCCCACATACCAAAAACATCCCATAAGTGCAACACTGAATTTTGAGGTAAATTTAATTGAAATCTCAGCCCATTTGGCATAATTTTTTTATAAAAAATGTAAGAAAAAACAAAGTAGTACATATCACTCATTTAAGAATCGATTTTACGTTTATGAATCATTGGAAAATTTAGGATATCGAAATGTATCTAACTGAAAGGAAAGAAATTTTCTGAAGGATATCAAAATAAATCAATAAAGATTCAGGAAGTGTGCATGTAATCTTAAAAAAAAAAAAAATCAAAAATAAAAAAATGATCATAATATCCCATATTCTGGAAAAAAAAAAAAGAAGAAAAAAGAATGAAGATACAAACATATTTATTCACCTTGGCCAGAGGCTCCTCTAGGCGGAATATAGACGTTTGGAGGGTTCATAATCATCTTGTTGGAGGCGTACGGATTGAAGACGCCGTCCACTTTCTTAAGCTTAGGACGGAAAATACAGTTTCCCATAATGTTAATATATGTTGACAAAAACAATCACTTGATTGAGTAGCAAAATTTGCCAACATATATATAAATCCTTCCATGGCTTCATTTCTCCATTTTTTTTCTTTTCTTTTTTTTTTTGTGCTTTTCCCTTTTCAGTTGTAGATATAAGGGAAAAGCAATAGGAAAAGGGAAAAGATCTTGAACTGAAAATTGGAGAGATGAGAGTTTGTAGGATTTGCGTGTACAAGGTCAAGATGAAAATTGTCGTCGTCATTAACGTAAGAAAAAGGGGCCAAAAAAAAAACAAAAATTCATGGGACATTTATTGGAAGATGAAATTACCATAGTGCCCTTGGAAGATTTGGTAAGCAGAGTTAGGAAATTTGTGGTTTAGTTGGGATTATGAGACGAGAGTTGGGGTACATTAAGGATATTTCGACTTTCATGCCTAGGTTTCATTCTCTGGAAGATTTACCATTGGATTTTTTACCTTAAAGAGGGGGATTGCTTGAGGGAATAATCTAAGGTTATAAATTTAATGATAATCATTGAATTTTCCAGGTATACTAATTTTGGGGTGGTAGGTGCTTTGTTTCACTGAGTATGGTAATTAATGATACATATCCTTTAATAAAATATAGAGTTTTTAGTTACTCTACAATTGTTAGATTTAGACTGTGTCAGAAATTTTAGTATTCAATGTATTGCTATTTTACCAAAAAGAAAGCAAGTTATTGATTCATAAGTAGTGCTGAAAATCATATCACGTGAAATAAGATGTTGAGTTACATACGCAAACAGAACAAACCAAATACCATGATTAAGCGGAACTTACGGTTTTTCGAACAAAGTCGTGAGTTACAAGTATTCTCTAATGATTCAGATTCGGAAGATGCAAAAACAAAACAGTTTTATCTACAAAAACGATGATATATAGTATAAATGTATAAAAAACTACATAGTATTTCTCCAAAAAAATAAAAAAGTTGATGATTGTTCTAGCGACAGCAAGAATCATCCATTAAATATTGCTGAAAGTAGCTCCAAATATTACTACCTTGATACATGATTTTGATGTATGTGATGTTACTGAATAATAATTCTTACTTAAGCGCCTATCGAATTTTACCAAAATTTTGACTGAAATATATTTTTTGACCATTTTTTGTCCCCCTTCTTGTTCATCAAGCGTTTTGCTTAGTTTTCGTAGTCAAAAAACCCAAAAGAGGAAATTGAAATGAAATGTTGACAGACTCTGTTAACTTTGAGTCTGAGTCAACCTAGCAAACTAAAGCTAACCACCCCATCCGTATTTATTTAATAGTCAATTTATTGAATCGTCGACTTTCTTAAATTAAGAATCCTCCATAAGAGTGATTAGCTCCATTGCAATATTCAATATATTATATTATCAAAGAGGATAGGGTTTTAGGGCGATGATACATTTGTATTTAGAAGCGAGGTTATTGAAATAAATGATGAATATAGTCTTCTACATGTACGAAAAAAAAATGCTATTAAAATTAAAAGAATATACTACCTCCGTCCAAGAAAAATAATTCAATTTAAAAAACTAAAATATTAAAATGAAAAATTGAATAAAGTTTCATAACTATTAATCCATTTTGTGTTATACCAATCTCTTATGTGCAATATTAAGATTTATATTTCTAAAATTAGACTATTTTTCTGGGGCATAGATAGTATTAAAATTTGAATAACTCATGTTCATTGAATTAAAACAAAATAATCAATATGATAGTCTAGCGATTTTCTTTATCAAAAATTGACATCTTTTTTTTAAAAAAAAAAAAAGTTATGTGGATTTATGTTCAAAAGTCGATTAATATTACGATTGAAATTTGTATTCATTGTCAACATAGTTAGAAACCTAAAGGGTGACACACAATAAAACAACTATTTAGGATAATTAAGCGATTAACTTATGTAAAAATTAATCATAAGGACTTATTGATAAATGATAATGGCTTATTTGTTACATAAAAGCATCACAATTAACTCTGAATTTAGTAAGAAATTAGGGGTATTTCTTAGTATTAGTGCATTTTACTTAACTAGTTTTTGTGTTTTTATTAGATTAGGACTTGATTGAACAATTGCTGAAAATTGGGGCCAAAGGAATAACTTGTGGGCTGCTGAATTCAAATTTGCTGAGCTGGTCGAAAAAACACTCACAAGATACAAAGCACCTTGACATTAATGAGTGTGTTTCTCCTTAGAATTCCAAAGGCATGCTTGCCTCCTTGGCTGAATTTCCAACCACCCATATTGATCAATGAGGTTGCTGCTGCCACTGCTGGAATAGGAGAGACCAGTCAATTTCGGATTCAAGACACAAGGCCTAGGAAGGATTAAACAATTCACAAGCATGGGGAGGCTCTCTTGGTTGAAGAACTGGCTTCAGGGCTCTATAAAAGGGGAGCTACACTCTGAGAAATGGGCATCTCTGGCTACACCTTTCAGTTGCCAAGAACACACAGAAAAACTCCAGAAGAAGGCAAGAAGGAAGGAAGAACAGCAACAACTCAGTAAGGAAGCCAAGTTGAAGAACAGCCACCTCAATCACTGCTTCAGTCCCCTGAATGAATCCTGTCACTCCCAGGAGTGACCTCTGAACTGCATAAGCTGTCTTCTTCTCTTAAACTGTTAGCTTGTATTTCTTTCCATTGATGCTTACTTCTACGATGTCTGTTGAAGTAGTAGTTGTAGCATCAACCAGTATGAGTAGCTAAACAGCTTCCAGGGGTTAATCTCCTCAACCTATGTTGTAGTTATTGTGATGCACTGGTTCTGTTCTTTGTTTTGAAGTTGAAAGTATTTCTACATTCAGTTACTTGATCTCTAATTGAATGCATGCTAGAACTAAGAGAAATCTGGAAAGATAAACTTGGTTCGAGCTGTTTCAACTTTTACTTGTAACATAGAGGTAGCAATCTATGGTTTTAACTAAGATAGGAATATACTTAGTTAACATGAGCATTCATAAAGCCGTAACTCTTAATGACTTTATAACTGGACTCAATCGTTGAAAATAGATTGTCAAGGTTACAAAGATGACTCTAGGAAAAATGAGAACTAACTTAGAGTTAATCCTGAGCTGAATGAACAAGAACTTAACTATTAAGTGCAAATTACAACTGCTGCAACAGGTAGAGGAGATGAACACCCCTGGACCGTACTCTCCTGAGTGAACGTTTCAATTCCCCTGAGTGACCCTTGCTTGAACTGGTAGTCTTTTAACAACAAATTTGGTAATTTAGTCGTCCCTGTGGGAACGACCTAGTTTCATTATCTACAAATCCATAATCCAGCTAGTATTATTTTTGGTGAACTCGGCACCGACCAGAAAGTGGCGCCGTTACCGGGGATCGACGTAAAACCTCCATTATTTTTTTTGTTGTTATTAATAATTAATCCTTCTCTGGTAACTTAGCTAAGCTTCTAATTTCTCTTCTTTGGTGTATGACTAGACGGCACCAATGAAGTAAACCAGTTTTTGATCCAGAAATTGAAGCTACTATACGCAGAGCCAGAGCAGCAAAAAGAAGGCAAGATCGGTTGCAACAGAACCGCTAAGAAGGTTCATCAGAAATAATGGCTAGCGAAGGTGGTAACCCGGAGAATAATAGGAACCCTGGTGGGGATCAACAAAATTGACCAGAGAGATTGCTCAGAGATTTCTTTATTCCACAACAAGAAGAAGTCCAATCCCCTTTAGTGTTCCCCGATGTAGAGGTAACCAATTTTGAGTTAAAACCACAGATGATCCAATGGACTCAGTCAGCCTACCCGTTCCATGGATTACCTCATGAAGATCCTAATGATCATATCAAAAGTTTCTTGCGTTTATGCAGTACTTTTAAGATTCAAGGCTTATCCAATGATGACATTAGACTGAGGTTATTCCCTTTCAACTTGCAGGATCACGCCCAAGCATGGTTCAATACATTGCCCAACAATTCTATCTCCACTTGGGAAGAGTTAAGACAATGCTTCCTTACAAAATTCTTTCTACCGGCAAAAGGTGCACAACTCAGAACAGCAATAATGAATTTCAAGCAGCATGGAACTGAAACACTCTATGAAGCATGGGAAAGACTAAAGGAAATGATCAGGAAATGCCCTCAGCATGGTTTAGAAGAGCATCTCCAACTGAGCATCTTCTACAATGGTTTGCTACCAACTACAAGAGACTCCCTTGATGCTGCAGCTGGTGGTGTGTTTATGATGAAGCCGGTTGATGCAGCAAGGCAGTTGCTTGACAATATGACCTCCAATCATTCAAGGTCGCAATCTGATCCAAGAGCAAGTACAAAATAGCCAGGAGTGATGGAACTTGACCCCAGTACACACCTGCAAGCACAAATGGCTGTTATGATGAACAAAATGACAAAACTAAGGAGTGAGCTGTCCAAATCCAAGGCTGAAGTGTGTGTGTGTTATGTGATGGATCTCACAATTTAGATGACTGTCCCTCCAAAATGGAAGCTGTCCAGTTTGTCAGGCAGGGCAATGCTGGAGGATTCAACAACTTCAACAATTGGAGAAATCAGCATCATCCTAACAGGAACAATGCACCACAACAAGGGAACTATCAGAGGCCTACTCAACCCCCAGGATTTCACAGACAAGATGGCCAACCTCCCAACTATCAGAATCAACAGCGTTCTAATCAGCAATACATTACAAGGGAAGAAGAATGGATTTCTGTACAGAATGCAATAAAAAATTTGGCTGTGTCCTGCAAAATTCTAGAAAATCAACTAGCTCAAATCGCAAAACAGAATGCCGAAAGACCATCTGGAAGCCTACCAAGTGACACCATTATCAACCCCAAGAGCAATGATCAATAGCAAGCAAAGGCTATCAGTCTCAGAAGTGGAAAACTACTCAATCAGCCAAGTGAAAAAGTCACTCCCGTGAGTGACCCTGCAGGTAAGAATGAAACAACTTCTGAGAAAAGATCTGACAATGATCATTTGGTTGAACAGGAGCAACCTGAGGAGAAATCTGGAAAGGGAGAAGCCCAATTCCCAGAACCAAGTCAAAAGCCACATGATGCAATACCGCCATATCCGGTAAGACAAAAGAAGGCCAAGATGGATGAAGGACTCAACAGGTTTATTCAAAATTTGGAAAGCATACATATTAATGTACCACTTGTTGATGCACTTAAACAAATGCCGAAATACTTCAAGTACTTGAAAGATTTGGTGGCT